CTTGTTGTGTGGATGTGTATGTACAGGAACATATATCTATATGTATGAGTGTCTGTGTTTGTATGCATATGCGTGGGTATGTATATGTGTATATGCGTGTGTATGTATGTATGTATACATGTATATATTGTTGTGTGTGTCTATATATATATAAAATACCTAAGCATGTCGGTACTTCAATGGAACTGTAATGGTTTAAAAACTCACTTTAACGATTTAAAAATACTAATACAAGATATAGACCCGTTTTGCATTGCACTAAAGGAGACACACCTCACAATCAACGACAATTTTTCTATAAAAAATTTTGATATATACAGAAAAGACAGTCCGAACCTAAACCACAGTCACCACGGAGTTTTAATAGCTATAGATAAATCCATATATTCCGAATCAATCAACATTAATTCTCATCTTCAAGTTGTTGCAACCAGAGTTCACAAAGATTTTTCATTTTCCATCTGTAATATATACCTTCCACAAGACCGTACCATAGATACACAACAACTCCTAGATATCTATAACCAAATGTCTCGTCCAGTTCTTTTTATTGGTGATCTGAACGGTCACAACCCTTTATGGGGCTCCCAAAACATTAACATTTTTCAGATGCTTCTACTCAACACCGGAGAACCTACCTTTCTCAGCACAGGCTATGGCACTTTCTCGACTCTCGATTTGTCACTCTGTGATCCCTCATTATTTTCCATTACAAATTGGACGATTTTGCCTGATTTATATAGTAGTGACCATTTTCCAATACTGATAAAATTCAAAATAATGAATCCCACCCGAGTAAAACCGAGATTTGTTCTAAATAGAGCAGACTGGACCTTATTTTCTTCATTAGCCTCGCCATCTCAAACTCTCCCGTATCAAATGAATGTCGATAAAGGCTGTCAAACTATCATGAATACGATCATAGAAGCGGCTAAAGCATCAATACCAATGACCTCAGGCTCACCAAGAAGACCGCTTGTCCCCTGGTTTAACGATGTTTGCAAGGAGGCCATTAAAGATCACCGTAAAGCCTACAAAAAATTCCAGAAATCTATGACCTCTCAAAATTTAATGGAATATAAAAGACAGCGTGCTATATGTAGAAAAATAATTAATCAGTCTAAGACCTAATCCTGGAAAAAATTTATAAGCTCCATTAATTCCTCAGCCACATCAACTGACGTTTTGAACAAAATCCGTAAATTCACTAAAACCTCATATTCCTCTCGCTATACTATTTTGGTCAATGGACGACTGTCTGACAATCCTCTATCAGTCTCAAACACATTTGCAACTTTTTTTTCTGAAATATATAGCTCCGGAAGAAATAATACAAGCTCGGAATACACGGACCCTGAGAGGACAATTGATGACAAATTATTATGTTACAACCTCCCATTTTCAATGTGGGAACTCAAAAACATATTAAGAACTGTTAAAGGTTCAACCCCTGGTCCTGACCTGGTCCACTATGACATGATAAAGAACCTCCCAGGCAATACACTGGAATGGTTACTCGGTTATTATAATCGTGTCTGGTCCACTGGACAGTTCCCAAATGAATGGTGTGATTCAGTGGTCATTCCAATCCTCAAAAGCGAAAATGATAAACGTTTACCAACCAGCTATCGCCCTATATTTCTCACAAGCTGCTTAAGTAAATTAATGGAGCGGATGATTAATAAAAGATTAATGTGGATGATAGAGAACAACAATTTAATTCAACCCTTTCAATCGGGATTCCGTAAGGGTCGATGCACATTGGATCATTTGGTTGCATTAGAAGCCGAAACTCAATATACTTTTATCAACGCACAACATACAATAGCCATATTTTTTTATATGAAAAAAGCTTTTGATAATATAAATCACTACATTATCCTCAATAAATTATCATCTGTAGGAATTAGAGGCCGAATGTACAATTATGTTAAACAATTTCTAACGCACCGACGCTTTAGAGTTCAGGTAGGAGGAGAATTATCCGAGAACCACCATCAGTTCAACGGTGTCCCTCAAGGTTGTGTCCTGAGCCCAACTCTGTTCTGTCTGGCGATAAATGACTTGGGCCTTCACTTGCCAAGAGGTGTTAAACCGCTTCTATTCGCAGATGATCTAGCCATTCTCTGCCGATCTGGCAACATTGACACTATACAAAACAAACTACAGGATGCTGTTAATAGAATCAAAACCTGGTCTCTTTCCATTGGTCTCCAATTTTCTTCTGCATAAACTAAGTGCATGCATTTCAGTCGAAAGAGAAACACCCCTAACTCACCCGAAATCTACCTCGGAAATTCCATAATCCCGTACTCGAACCAACATAGATTCTTGGGCATGATCTTTGACCGAAGACTAACTTGGGAATCACACATTTCTGCCCTAAAGATAGCCACTACAAAAAGAATAACTATCTTGCGATATATAAGCGGCACTTCCTGGGGCTCAGACAGACTTACATTAATAGAACTGTATCAAGCTCTGGTATGTTCGAAATTAGACTATGGGTGCTTTATATATGGGTCCGCTCGCTATCGGATCCTAAACAAACTCGATACAGTTCACCATACAGACATTAGGATAGCAACTGGCGCATTTCGAACAAGTCCCATCCTTAGTCTCTGCTCTGAGGCCGGAATACCCCCTCTTTTATTTAGAAAGAAAAAACTGGCCGTTAACTACATTTCAAGGCTGCTTCCCCAAAACAAACATCCCACTCACAACTACATTTTTAAACCTACATTTTCAAACGCTTTTAGAAACAAAACAAATTCCACACTCCCATTGTCAGAAAGAATTTATTCAGCAGCTGAATCCCTTAAGAACTTACCTTTATTCAATATAGAAAACCAAAACCCACCTTGGATCCACAAACCCCCAAAAACGACTCCTTGAGTTCATTAAAGGGTTTAAATGATATGTACTCAAAACATCCAGTTATCCATAAAATACACAAATATCTTCACACTCTGGAAAATTTAGGTAAATCGGTTTGTTTTATATGGGTTCAAAGTCATGTGGGTATAGTTGGTAATGAGCTTGCGGATGCGGCAGCGAAACAGGCACTCGCTCTTCCAGACCGAGGTACTCCTATCCTGACCCCTCCAGAAATGAGTTTTCTTCTGAAAAAAGAAATATTGGATAGTTGGCAGTCTATGTGGAACGAAAGCCTACCTAGCAAATTAAAAGTTGTTAAAAAATCAGTTAAGCCCTGGATCACATCAAACCACCCTAATCGTAGAGAGGAAGTCCCTGTGGCCAGATTAAGAATAGGACACACGAACCTAACCCATGTACATCTCATCACTAAGCAGCCACCACCAAATTGTCAGCATTGCAATAGTCTTCTCACAGTCAACCATATTTTCCAAGAATGCACTTATTATACTTCAAGCCTAAATCGATTATCTCTAAAACAGGATATATCAGTAGTATTAAACGACGAATCAAACATAGGAACCGTGATAAAATTTCTTAAAATCCATAGACTATTATAAATATTTATAAAATATAAAAATAGATATAGTTTGTATTTTATTGTTCTATTTTTGTATCTATTTTAATATTATACGTTTTTAAATATCTTTTTCATATACCACTATATCTATCTATTATTAATTTTTGATTGTTCATTTTTTTTTCTGTTTCTCCTCTAAGAAGTTTACAAACATAACTGACTCACAGGTGTTGATGACCTTGGGGTTTTACGCCTTAAAGCCTGAATAAACAAACCACTCTACTGCCAACAGCTTCACTGTTTCAGGAAGTCAGAAAGGAGCAGTATAAACATGACGTCATACCTAGACTGCCAACAAAATACTCTTCTATTCCACTAAAGCAGTAATCAACTGCCAGCAGTCAATACGGTGAGCAGTACCGGTGAAACAGTAGCTTTAAATGTCAATAATACCAATGAACATGCGTCCTTCCACCAGTATCTGTAAAAGTCCATCTCGTACTATGCTGTACAAGATCAGTTGTAACATAATTATCCCACCAATCTCCAGACCTATCCATTGGGTATTTAACTTTATGCTCAGTAATAATTTACTATACATGGATTCATCCTTTACTAAAACAAATAATATCAAAAACCCATTTCATCTTCATATATTCTATCTTTTAAATACATCTCAATGTATTTAAAAATAGAATACCATGTAGAATGTCAATGTCTTAACATTGTTCTTCTTTCAATGTTCCACATCTGTAAAGTAATAGTATAAATGCTCAAGTGAAGCCTTGAGAAATCTTACTTCTAAGTTTTTGGAGAGTAATGTATAAACTGAATAATTTTAGAACTGATAAATAACAAAATTAAATGCCTTTATTTTCTCTTGAATTTTTTTTTCTTTTAGCTATTCATAAGTTTATCATCAGCGAAGCAACAACCCACTTAGTTAGTCAGGGCCTCCTCCAGCAGCTTTTAGCCATTCCTAATTAAACTGTGTGGCTTCAATCCAATTCCTCACACCCATTAGATTGATTTTATTACTTAAAATATTGTCTTTCCTTCAGTGTTATGGTATAATCAATTCATAAACTTGATCTAACGCCATCTTTTTAGGAATATTCTTTTTGATTATTTATTATTTACTATCCACTATCTTTGTATATTAGTTTGCAATTTAATGTTGCCAGATATAATTTTTTTTTTCACCATAAGTCAGGTAAAAGAAAAAAATGTTCTGTTCTTCACTAAATTTTAACAAGCTGGTGTTAACTAATAATTATTAATGCAATGAAATCAACAAATTGGAGAAATCCATTATGGTGAAATAGTATTGGGCTGCAAGGAGCCAAATGGCTTAATAGCCAACAGCAGAAACATTAAATTAAATAAAAAAATATTTATTAATAAGAAATGTAACAAAAATCTAAAAATAAAACGACTGATTCTTAGACAAAACCCAGAGTTATATTTTTGATATAGAAACACGAACACTTCAATTATAATAAGAGCATTATTTACCAAATATAATTAGAAAATACATTCTTACCATATAAGCTCTGTAAGCATGATAAAACATATCTCTTGCTTCCTCTCTACAAAAAAAAAAAAATTAAAAATTAGGTAATTACTTATTTAAAAACGATATAAACTCGATATATCTGATAAATATTTTCATACTTCAATCTTTCCCTTTCTAAGTCTGTCATAGGTACACTTTGATCATCTTCATTGCAATAAACAATAACCAATAATGAAGAAATACAACACCAGACGAAATAATAGGGCATCATCTTGGTGCTTCTTAAATTAGGATAAATGTCTACTATATATAATACCAAAACTAATTTGATACTTGAAGACCTATTTTCTTTTTTTCTTGCATTGTCAAGAAAATAAACCAATATAATATCTGGATTGTTTGCGTAGAGGCAACAGAATGTGTTGAAAATAATTCATCATTGATGCTCATTAATAAAAATTAAAGACTTCTTTTGTTGACAACAGAACATTAAGATGCAAGGTAGGGTATTTTTAATAGACCGCAGCCATAAAAATATAATTGTTATATCCAGGGTCCAAAAAAAGTTTGCTTGTATAAAAATATCTTCAATATACACCTAAAACATTTACATAGATTAGTACCAATATGACAAAAAAATATGTTCATAATGATTATAGATTTATTAAGTACCTATAAAGTAAAAAATCATAGCAGGATAATTTATATAATAAAAAAAAATACTGAAAATTTCAAAAGGTAATGGAAGTATCAAGCATTTGAATATATTAACTGAAATCTGTTCAATACTGTTAGGTATATTTCAGTGAATCTGAGTAGAGCTAAAATATGTAAACTACCTTACTTCAAAATTAATACTATATTTATACGTTTCTTTACTTTCTCTTTTTTAATATTGTTTTATTTTGGCCAGATGTAGTATTTTAATCATGTTCTACTTTGTTATTCTAAAGGGACTTCGTCCCAGAATAAAGTTATTTTCTATTCTATATTGATAATAATCTTATTAAAAAAATTTGAATTGTTGTTAAAAAAAGTAGTGGATAAAACATTCAAAGAAAATAAAAACCCATCTGTAAAGCTGATGGGAAACCAAGTTTTCCAACATACTTTATCACATTGTATATTCTACAAGTTACAAGATCAATGTCTGACATTCAAATATGTCAAGAATGCACACAATAATTGATATTTGAAAAATTGTTCAGAATGGTTGTACAGAACTAGCAACTTAAATACCACCAATCTAAGTATGTCATCAAAAAATTAGCTGATTATAAAAATAATTCTGATAGAGTAAGTAAAACAGGACTATGTGTTATCATGAAATGACACAACTTTGTTTTAGAACAATGTAATCACATAATGGTTTAATACTTAAAGTACTTACTTGAATCAGTGCTTTGAACTGACTTCATATGCGCTGAATATTATTAAAACAAAGAAAATAGTAAGTAACATATTAACATGCAGCATGAAGCTTCATAACTTATGTTAAAATAACATTGTGAAAATTGAATTATTTAGGGATTATTAGTGCTTTAATACTTAGTAAAATGATTATAATCGCGAACGTAATTTAAATAATGATCGCGTAAAAATCAACCATATAATTTGTAAATAGTTCAGACTTAATAGAGAAAACTGACAATGACGTTACCTTGTCAGATTGGTTGAGTAGGATCTTAATGAACCTCTTAGAACAGATAACATTAAGATTGTCAAGGACGTGGTGATAGTTAAGTGAGCATATTTTTTAAGATTAATTAATTTCGGTTTCATTAAGTTACTTCATTTATATCGATTTGAATAACAATAATACAAAAATCGAAAAAAAATTAAGATAAACAATCAGCAGGTTAAATCCTGGCAGAGAAAACATCAAATTGTTCACCCTAAGCTAACCTAATCTGTCACCTGTCATTTCCCCAAAGTTGGTTAGGTAAAAGAAAAAAAAAGTTTTTACCAACTTTACTTAAATTATCATTTATAATCGAAAATACACAATATCATTCAAAACTGGAAAAACTTAGAAGAATTTTAAATTCCCACTAATAAATTAACAGACCGACAATTATTAATACATTGTATTTTATTATTTCAACCTCGTTCCATATCGATAACAAAATATAAATAAATCTCTAACTTTACGAAAAAAGGAATTGTTGAACATTTTTCAGGACTATTTATCCCTATTGACTATCAATCCCTATTTAATCTTCTTATTTTTAGCGGTTATTAATTAAACCGAATTAATTAGTTAAATTGGATTTAACCTTCTGGTCACGAAATACAAAGATGTACACGATGAACATGCTCTCTGTCAGTGTACATATTCCCGTCTCCCTCAGGAGCTTAGCTCTTAGTGCCTCATAGGCAGTACATTCAACGATTACATGTTCGGCGGTCTCCGGAACGTTGCAGTTGGGGCATAGCGGATCAATATTCTTCCCGTGTTTAAGGAGCTTTACCCGGAAGCCCCCATGTCCCGTTAGGAGCTGAGACACCCAGTAATCCGAGAGGATCCATCTTGCATCTAATCGTGACTTGACCGTGGGGAAGTACTTTCTTAGGGAAGCTCCCTTCGGGGTTGCCATCCATCGCCGGTTCCATTGATCAACTGTGTCCTCCCTGATAATTCTTTTCCATCTTCTTGGGTCTACTTCAATTCTCATCTTTAGATGTTCCGGTAGGTCCGCCGAACCTTCTCTTTTCATTTTAAAGAGGTAATAGTCTTCTCACAGAAGGAGATCGAGAGGTGCCCCTCTGCCAATACTTGCACTGCCTCATGAGATATCGTGTTATAGGCTCTAGTAACCCGAAGTAAAGCCAATCTCTGAATCGATGATAGCCTACTCTTCTGTCGGTCCGAGAGGTTTAGGTTCCAGGCTGGGAACGCATATCTCAGAATACCCAGAACCACTCCTTTGTATATAGTCATTGTAGCTGGGTATGTGAAACCCCAGACGGCGCCTCCGACACAACTGAGTCCGTTTAGGGCCACTGTGACACTAGTTCTCATATAGTCCAGATGACGAGTCACGTTGAACTTTCGACCAATTTTTATGTCAAGGTAGGCGACAACCTAACTTGGACGTATCCTTTCTTTTCTATACTCAACATAATATGATGTGCCCTGTCAGTCGTGCCCCTCAAGAGAATTGCCTGGGTATTTGTTGGAGCCATCTTCAACTTCTTCCTCTCGCACCATCTACATTCCAAACTGGCGCATCGTTCAGCTTCTCCTTTCAGACCGGTGGCTGTTTGAGACCACCAAGGCGGCCAAATCGTAAACATGGGTCGTGGCAGGGAACCGCTCCTCTTCGAGCTTCTCCAGCAACTCGTCAAAGACTAGCTTCCACAAGACAGGATCCAGAACAGATCCCTGCGGGCAGCCCCTCTCGACGGTGTCTTCTATTTCGAAGAATCAGCCCCTAATTTTCAATGTCCGGTCCTGGAGGAAGTTTCTCATTAGTTCATACAGGTTACTGATAGTTTCATACTTCTGGAGTAGCTGGAGAAAACTCGGCCACCACACACTGTAAAATGCAGAGGAAATGTCGAACAGGAAAAATATAACATACCTCTCCGCTCTTTCTTCCATGTTATGACGTACTCGGAACATGGCATCTGCGGTTCCCCATGCCTATATTGCCATGGATGGCTCGATCTTGGTAAGACTGGCCGAAGGCTCAAGAGCACCAGGTTTTCCAATACCTTGCTCATTAAAGGAAGGATACAAATGGGTCTGTATGTTTTAGCAAGTTGTTTGTCCTTGTCTCTTCCTTTGTAGAAGAGTCAGACATTAGCAATTTTCCAGTTCCTTAAAAATTATTCCCTATTTAGGCAGTCGTTAAGAATCGCAAGCAGCCTATTTTCTAGATAGGGAATACTATTCTTCAGCATTGCCGCATCTATACCTGGGGCCCGGCTAGTCTTTTGCCTTTTCACGGCATTACGGAGATCCCTAATGTCCCATGATGGGCACAGGTCCGTCCCAGGCGGGTATACCGTGGCTCTTTTAACAAACGTATGGTCATCATTATTCTGTGATGGATCATCCCCGTTATATGTCTCTTTAATAAACATCTTTGCTGTTTCCAGAGTGTTCCCAGAGGCTGCCTGAGTGCCCCCTTTTTTCAGGGCTGCAATGACTTGCTGTGGGGTCAGTTTTCCAAGGGCCTCCCTGTATAAGACACCCCAGGGATTCTTCCTGGATCTTCGTTTCTATGAGCTTATCTCATTCAGGTATACCATAGTCTTAGAAATGTACTCCTCACGAAGTGTAGTAAGCCTCTCATCGTTACTACGCCTCTAATATGAATGCCGGGCCTTGTAGAGCTCTCTCTTCATAGTGGTTAAGGCCGGGGACCACTACGGGACAGGTCGTTCTCACGCTTTGCGGTGCTGGAGGGATTCTTCCGCGGCATCCCTAATGACTTCGGTAATTCTGGATACCTTGTAATCAAGGTCATCCGTATTGTTAAGATCCGCGGGGCCCCTCTCTTCATCCACTATCTTTCTCTCTAGCGCTGATCGGAAGAAGCTCCAGTCTTCTCTTCGAGTCTATACTGGTTCTATATATCCTCTGTCTATACCATGGGAGCATCTTGCGTCCTGTATCAGGTCGAATGCAATTGCGTTGTGATCGGAGCTCGTTTAAGATGAGAGAGTCCAGTCAACAATGTGTTCTATCAGCGTCGCGGAGGCCAAAGTAATCCATCTAACTCTATCCACGTTGTTCGGAGAAAGTTGGAGTGGTAGACGGGTTATTAACCACTACCGTTGGCCTCTTGCAATGAATTCTCCAAGTCCGACACTCCTCCGGTCTGTTCGACTGGAACCCCCAACCCGTGCTCCAGGAGTTGGTGTCGCCTTCCTATATCTTCCAGTTATCGCTTCCATGGCGGATATACCCTCTGCTATGTCACTTCCGTTGGGTAAGGGTACCGAAACATGAGTGAAAGTGATGCTGATGTAGCATGCTACGCTGTCAGCCTTAGTATACTTCTCAAGACTCATCACATCGAGATTTGGGTTAGCAATTATTATTGCAGATATAGCCCTCCTTTCTTTGCACCCTCCTTTCACCACTCCCTAGAGCAATAAATCTCGACGTAAGACCAAATCCTACAACCTTACTCCCACGGCAGCTCGGTTCTTGAACCGCCATGATATCGTAGTGTTGAGCGAGAGCTCGCAGCTCATCTGCTAAAATATGCCGTCGGCCCATATTGAGCCATATAATGGAGATCCTATTCATACTGGGTTTTTCGCACGATCTCTTGGATCCTCTTGATGTGTGGTGGGCAGTTTCGGTCTCCTGCCTTGTGTTTGGTCAGGTTTAATGGAGCTCCTTCACGAGAACAATATGCACAAGTCGGGTTTACTCTTTCCTTCTTCCTTGGGCATACCTTTGCTACCTGGCCAATAGCCGCACACCATCTTCAAATCTTGTCCCCGAGAGTACATGACGCTGTAATGTGGCCATAACCCAAGCATTTTGTGCAGGAGGATGCATCCACGAAATCCCTGAAGATCATCGCCCACCATCCGCCATCGATGGTTCCCTCTTCCAATATCGGATGACTGGGTGGACCTCAACAACCTAGTTCCTTGTTAAACCAACTCTTGCCTCCAGTGAAAAACGTGCTTGGATACGCTCATTGATATTCAATTGGGGAGTCGACTTCTCAGCTGTTATTCCCCAGATATATCTTTCAAGCACCTGTCCATGAACAGGGAATCCCTTTCACTTCTAGTCTGGGCCTTCTTTTCCAGGCAATACTGGCTTCGATACCCGTATCCTTAAGGCCTATCCATTGAAGCAGCTTCGAGGCCTGGGTATCATTTTCAACTTTCATGAGGACGCCTTCAGCCTTGGTGGCCCTCACATCCTTAGCATTTACGTCTAGCTCCTCCGGAGAGGATGGGTTTTTTACAACATCTAAAACACTCTTCCCTTCCCCACCTATGATTATAAAGGTATGTTTAGGAGCATCTTCAGAAGGCTTTTGGGGAAGGGACTTCACAATGTCAGCCACAGTTCTCTCTCTTTTCTTTTTTGCCTTTCAGCTGAATGAGTCTGTGATGTTCTTTGAGTTTCTATTTTTTTCTTTTTTTTTTTTTCTTACGAATAACTTCCTGAAAATCTTGTTCTGGAGAGGTGGTCACAGGCTGAGGCTTCATCTCACTTCTTGTCTAACACCAGATGTTCCCGCTCTTGGAGGGAGAAGAAGTTGTTTTGTTTTCTTATTATCATCGCGCAGACCTTCTTTGATGTTAGGTAAAGCAACCTCCATGACTTTCCTAGTGATAATTTCATATATTTCCTTAGATGCCAGAGCCTGCTTTACCATAAGGCTCACTATCTGAGGAATATCCTGGATCCTGGACCTATACTTTATAGCTTGATAACACAGGGTTTCCAGGATGTATACAATATTATCAATTTTCCCCATTATTGCTTTCTGCTGAACTATGTTTATTTTCTTTGCAGCTAGATATTTTTTTAGGGAAACCTCGATTTTGTTAACCTCTTGGGCAAGGCTTTCTTCTCTTTCTTTGTACAAACCACTAGCGGATCCATTATTTAATTTTGGGGGGGGGCTTCAGCCTGAAAGATTTTTTTTGATATACATATAACGATAATTAATTTTTAAAAAAATAAAGAAATTAATTACCTATATGAAATGGTGTTTAAGTTGTTCTTGAAGTCCTATTAAATATAATTACACGAACAAGAATACTTTAAGAGATAGTTTTTAACATTTTTTTTTTGTAAAACATGGTTACATTTCACCATTTTGGGTGGGGGGGGGAGGGCTTCAGCCCGAAAGCTTCCCCCCCCTCATAGATCCGCTTGTGGTACAAACTAACTTATAATATAATAATAATTTCTGACCAATGACGATTAATTAGATTATTACTGTTTATCAATTATTCACCAATCCTGTCCTTGCCTAGGGAGTCTCAGATCGCACTAGGTTGAGACTCAACCTAAAACAATGAGAGCCCCGCCGTGATAAACAGGACGCTAGTCCGGCACAGAACTTCGTCACAGCCGATTCACGCCACCGCACAGCTGGTCCTAAGATAGATAACGTCTTACCAAAAAAGACGGCTGTTTATACACGATGACGAGTTTTATACACGTGTTAGCCTGCTCGGTCACGCCGTTGTCGCTCTGGGCACTGTGCTTATCTTTCACTTGCTAAATATACTTGAACCACAGCCATTCATGAATTCTCACTCCGAAGTATATCAAGGAAGACTTGGACCTTGTGTTTTGACTACCCACAGTTAGGATGATCTCCTATCTCTTTTTTTTTTCGTTGAAGAGCTTCTGTCTTCTGATACGTGAGCTGGAGTCCTGCGGGTGCCAGCCAATTGAGGATTAGTTCAATATTCCGGCTATACCGTAGGACCACCTCTTGTTTGTATTTGGCCTCAACTACAACACCTAAGTCGTCGGCGAAATTCCCTGTTTTGGTACCCTCTGTAAGGTTATGTTTGAGAACAACATTGTATATACGTTTCACAGTAGGAGTCCCAGCACTGAACCCTGGGGTATTCCCCCAGTAACTTCGAAACTCTTTGGGACATCGTCATCAGCACACGTCAATGTCCAGCCCTTAAAGTAGTCACTGGCTATTCTTCTAAAGTACAAAGCGACGTCCATTGCTTTTAGGGCATCCAAAACACCAGGGGTGCCCAGAAGGGGCTTTTGTGGCACAAGTTGCGCCATCAAAATTAATGAGGGCTCTTTTTTACTGGATTTTCAATTTTCGAGGGAGGCATAACCGGGGGGTTATGAATTTTCAAAATGGAAACTTTCAAATCAAAAGAAAAATGAAATCATGGAACAGACAGACCGCAGGATGTATAATGGTATATAATCTAAGATTATTCAAATTATACTTTCTTTGCACTGTTTTTAAGAAGAAGAGAGGAATAGAATATCTTAGGAGGGAAAGGTTAATGCGCCATCGGCCTTGGGGAGGGAGGAATGGGCACCCTTGCAAGACACAGATCCATTTTCCTGTGTTAAGAGCGTTATTCACATTCAGTGAGCCGACTACGTAGTGACACTTCGCGCCTCTCTTACCTCGCGGTTTCTATTACCAAGATAATTGCATCCACAGCGAATCTCAGTCTCCAAAAGCCAAATTGGTTCTTCTAGCGACATTCTACAATTTCAGTGATCACTTGTAGCCTGTTGCCTAATATTTTCTCTTGTGGTATCCAACAGGCAAATTGGTCGATAAACCGTAGGGTCCGATGGTCTTTCATTGCCCTTCGGGATCAAGACTAGTCGCTGCCTTTTCCATATACTTGAGAACCCCTCACTCAAGCAGCAGTTAAAAAGATCTAAGAATAAATCTGGCATAATCTCTCTTGATGCCTTTAATGTCTCATTCAGTATGCCTTCCAATCCTGGTGCCTTTCCTATCTTAAGGCATTCGACCATGTTTGCATTAGTAGTTGAAATGTCACGCGTTCATAAGCAATAATGGTGGAGATATATTTCTGTAGTTGTGTTATGTTTCTGAACTGTATAGACCCTCGGGATTCTATAGATTCTCGGGCAATCGACAATTCTTCCTATTCCAGCTTCTATGATTCTTAAATAGAGATTCTTTAGCACATTGAACAGAAATATATCTCGATGGGTATTACATTTTCTGTTGTCTCCTTGATTGTAAAATGGGCACAACTACAGTCCTACAGTATTGTTTTCTAATGGAAGTTTAGATTGAAAAATGGAGAAATATATCTTGACCTTTGCTGTCTATGTACGCGTCGCATTTCAGATTATTTCTTTCAATCCTGCTGGCTTGCCATATGCTTCGTACAATTCTGCCTTGTTGGTAAAATTGTGTTCACCAGAATAAACCATCATCGTCCCATTAATCTCCTACGAACTGCACCACCTTCCAACCCTCTCCTACCAGATCCTTGAAATACTCTTTTAATCTGTCTACTACATATTCATTAAACCAAATAAAGGATAATGGTTCTTGTTTTCTTTTCAGAGATTTAAGTTATTTCTTTTTCGTTCCCTTAATGTATTCTACCAATTTTCGGTTTAACTTTCAAGTTTTCTCCCATTTTGAGACCAAACACAACAATTATTTTCGGCTACCTTGGACATTTAGATTCGCTCTTTCCATCTTTCTTGGTGTAGAGAGAATAAAGCATTTATTATTAAAATTTTCTAATTGTTTATGATATGGCTCATAGGAACAAAATAAAGGAACTAAAAAAAAGAATTGGAACATGGTTTCCTGAATGTTTTGGTTATGGTATATGATTTTAACTAAACGGTACGGCAATTATTCATTACATTTAATTCACATTAATTAATTAATTAAATATTTTAGGTAATAAAATAGAAATTAATATGACTCATTTCCAGAAAAGTACATACAATTTCACGAACCTCTAGGGATAAGTAAATATACAAAAAAAAAGTATTGAATTGCAAACTTTAATAAAAATTCAAGATTCAGTGAATTAATATGAGGTTTATTTATATATCTAAACTTTGCAGCATCATTTTTTTAATGCTGATTTACTTACTGTAATTGAATTAGTCAACAAGATTTTTTCTATAATCCAATTATCAAATTTTGTTATAAATATTACTATAACCTTACGTTACCTTCATGCGCCCTGGTTTTAACCTTTTCAAAATTTGTGGGAGTTGTTTTATGTTGGTTGGCGTAATTTATTTTTATGTTTAATGGTGTTCAACTTTATCTGAGTAATTCTAAATGCTCGATAAATAAGAGAAATGACTATTAAAATAGAATCTCTTAAACTTTTTCCATGGTTTATGATAGTTTTGACAAAGTGCTGGCGGTTGCTTTGTTTTATTGCTACATTATTTTTAGTGGTATACTGGTTATTTGGAGGAATTTTAGCTACAGCAATATTTATTTTTACCACAGGAAGTATGAATGAATTCGTTCAGTTAATATGTTACAAATATTATTTGTTAGGTTATAAACATGTCAACATTTTATTACAGGTTTTTTTTATTTTTCTCAAGATTATTTACTGTTTCATCCTAATGATAATTACCAGTCTAGAACATTTGTTCAGACTCCCTCTGCATTTGATCTTCCTTTTCAAAATGTTTTTATCAAAAGTATTGATGGGACATTAATTCACTTATATCTAATAAGACAACCAGATAATATCACATCTTTAGCTCCTACAATAGTATTTTTTCATGGGAATGCTGGTAATATGGGGCATAGGTAAATCCGTGATTTATCTTTTAGCTTTATGATGTTCTATAATGTACTTCATATTCACAAATAAATTTCTGCTTAGGTTGCACAATGCTGCTGGCTTGTATAGAAATCTCGGTTGCAATCTTTTAATGGTTGAATACAGAGGATATGGTTTATCAAAGGGATTTCCTTCAGAAAAAGGAATATATATGGATGCTATGGCAGCCATGGATTTTCTCGCTGGAAGAACAGATATTAATCAGGATAAAATTATTATATTTGGAAGATCATTAGGTAAATAAATTTATTTTCTATTAATTTTAGGTTTCTAACTTCTGGTACTGGTTGTAATATTAGTGGGAGGAACTAGTTGGGCAAATGGGTCTGATTATCATTTTCCTAGTCCCTGACGGCCACCTTGAAGTCTCTGTTACTTACCTGAGTAGGATTGTGGAGATTCATGGCCTGGGACCACCAAAAAATAAATAGAACCATCCCAGGTGGGAATTGAACCCACAATGTTCTGAATTAGGTACTCTGGAACCCACATAGCCCTGGAGAGAGGGCTCCGAAACCGACCTACACAGCTGTAATCAAAGTGGGAGAAGATGAGAGAGGAAATTGGAGTCTACGCGTATGTTGTGGTAGGAGATGGCGGAAGCGAGTTTGAGGGTAGAAATTAGCCATTGGAAGATGTTAGAAATATGGTGATTGCCGGAGAGGGTTTGATCAATGAAAAATCCTAAATTTTTCACAGAGGAGTGTAAGGAGATTAGTTGGTCATTAAGGTTTAGAATAGGAAAGTCAGTATCTAAGAAAGGGCTTGAAACCAATTACAATGGCCTGAGTTTTTGCAGCATTTAGCCTTATTCCGTTTACATTTTCCCATGCACTGATTCAATGTACATCTTCTTGAATCTTGCCAAATGCTATCAACAACTCAGGGAGAGAAAAGGAAAGGTAGATTTGAGAATCGTCTGTATAAAGGTGATTGGAACAATGGATTATTGAATGATATAGGTCATTAATATAGGAACTGAAAAGGAGAGAAGATATGCGTGATCCCTGGGCAACTCCAGAGGATAAAGGCAAATAGCGGTTAATTGTGAACGGAAACTGCTTAGGTTGTTAGAGGAAAGATTGGAACCAAGGGATGGAACTATTGGAGAAGGATAGTGATTTTAGTTTGTTGAAAAGGATGGGATGGTTAATGGAATCAAATGATTCAGAGAAATCAAAATGTATAAATATTTTATCATCTATCGCAGTCTGACTATCTCTCGTAATGTTAATTAAGGCGGATTGTGTGGAGTAGCCGTGACCCGGATTGGAAAGGATCAAGTTGGTTGGACTTTTCAAGGATATTGGAAACTTGGGATTGCACCAATCTTTCTTGGGGTTTTGAGAGATTGGAAAGAATTGAGATAGGGCAAAAAATCTTCAGGAGAAGGATTAGACTTTTTATTTAACGGAAGGAGAATGACTTTTTTCCAAGGTTGGGAATACTGAATTCTTAAGGAAAAATTGTAGATGAAAAGAAGAACTAGGAGGATTTCAGGGAGACAATTTTATTAATTTGACTGGGTTGTCATCTGGTCCTATGGAATTAGTGTGGGATTCCATAACAGCAGTTGAAAGGTCAATGGAAAAATGTTGGAGAAATAGAAGTCATCATCATTGAATGATGACTCAGGAGTAAAGTTGGAAGAGGCAGAAATAAAATGCAAATTTAAATCGTCAGGTGGAATGGGAAAGACTAGTGAGGAAGGGGTTCTGGAAGGTTCACAGAGGAAAAGTTTGCGAAGGATTAACCATTTAGATTTGGAATCAGGAGCAGATGCGAGGGCTTCGTGTGGGCGGGGTAGCCGAATGGGCTAACACGTGTGCACAGCACCACCGTTGCCAGGCAACCTGATATAAGATAAAGTGATAAAAAAATAGTCATGAGTTCGCATCCCGGTGCCGGAGGAGTCTTTTAAATCCCCGCCCACACCCCCTGGCCCGGGAAAACCCCGTATAGCCTTAAAGGCGAGGAAGGGGAGGACCCAAAAAAAAAAGATGCAAGGGCTTCATGGAAGTAGGTAGTTTTAGCTCGCCGAATCCTTGTTTGTGTCAGGTTGTGGAGCACCCTAATATTCTTTAAATCAGCCGCCATTTTTTAAAGCAGAGGCTCTGGAACGGCAGACAAGGTTTATTTTACTCACAATAACATACATTTTCGTAATTTACAATCAAACCTTCACCTGCGATGAGGTCAATTTTTGGGTCCTGGCTCCAAGGCTAACACTGCAATATCCTGGTTCCTCATACCCTATAGATTTGTAATTAGCAAGAGAAGGTATGGTTCAGGTGGGACTCGTATAGAAACTAGGTAGATTAATTGTATCAACTATTTTTTAAACAAAAATTACCATATTATTATACAGGGTGTTTCAGGATTAAGTGGCCAATTTGTAAAAATGAACTAAGACCTCCAAATAAGAAAAAAAATTCCTCTAAAGGTATGTCTGCAAACGCTTTGTTTAGGAGATATTCACACCTAAAGATATCCGTTGTAATGAATTATTTACTTAAATAATGAAATAAATAAAACCTATTTATTTGTTCTAACTACTTTATTAATTAAATGTAAACATTAGTATTCATATTAAATGTTTTTCAAAGTGAAGGTCTGATGTCTGCAAACGCTTTGTTTAAGAGATGGATTGGATAGAATACTAATTTGGCTTTTTATCCCTAACTGTATAAAAACTAGAATAGAATAGAATAGTTTATTTTATTTGTCTAAGAAAATTCCTGTACAAATAAGCATAATGGTATTATTAACAATGTTAGATCTTGAGTCTATTACTGCGTTCAAACAAAACATTAACAACGTATACAACATTAAGTATGACTAATATAACTGATCCAACTTATAACTGGGTTACCCAAGTAAAAAAAAGTGTGGATGAACTGGGATGTCAGGACTGTTGTGTGTTATCTCCCAAGGTCTGATGAGGTGCAAAGATGAAATCATTGAAAAAATGAGAAACCATCACGCATCCAAGGACATCGACAGAGTGTTAAACTCTAAATCAAACCCAAGATATAGATAAATCTGCTCCTTTAATGTTACCATACCAGAGGATTATCTTCAGTTCAAGGCTCTGAATTTAAACAAATTAAGAGGCATTAGTCGTCTCAGAGTAGCAAGTAAAGATTTTGTGAAGTATATACTTAAAATATGCTACTTTGACTATTAAATCTAGTGAAGTATGTGCTCCATGTGCCTTTTAACTGACCCGGTGACTCATTTTTTGATTCAATGTATCAAGTTTAATGAACCAAGAATTAAGTACTTGAAGACATTTATCACTGAATCCAGGGAAGATGTTAGTATGGAGGAGATACTGAAAATAGACACTATGTAAAAAATAAATCAACTGTATTATATCATACAGGGCTGTTCATTGAACTGTTAAGTGGTATAGTTAATCATATAAACATATATTAATACTTATTTATATTGTTATTTGTTATATACTTCTGGTATATTTAAAAAAAAAAATGTTTTACTAATTGTTTATGTATATGTATATATTGTTTAATAATCTGTTATATTAGTCATACCTAATGCTGTATACATTGTTAATGTTATGTTGGAACGCAGTACTAGACTCAAGATCTAACATTGTTAATAATACCATTATATTTATTTGTACAGGTATTTCCTTAGACAAATAAACTAAACTATTCTGTTCTATCCTAACCGTATAAAAACTATTCCACTACAGCTGACTGGTGCCTTTCTGAACATAGCGCAAGCTTTCGACCGGGTGTGGCACGATGGCTTGCTTTTCAAGCTCAAAACCCATTTACTCCAATCCTTGTACCTAGTCCTCAATTCCTATCTCTCTAACCATTGCTTTCAAGTCCGCTGCGACACTGAATTCTCCAATCATTATCCAGTTGAAGCTGGTGTTCCACAAGGCAGTGTCTTGAGCCCAGTTCTCTACATCCTCTTCACCGCTAACATTCCAACCAATCCTGATATCCTTCTAGCAACATTCGTTGACGACACCGCCATCCTGTCATCCCACCCAGATCCTGACACAACCTACAAAGACACATCTGCCTAATTGAGCAATGGTGCAGCTATTGGCGCATCCAAATTAACAAATTCAAATGCAAGTATGTCACCTTTACCCTTCGACGCAGATCTTGTCCACCTATCCTTTTCAACTCTGTACCTCTTCCCATTTCAGACACAGTTGGGTATCTTGGATTCCTTTTAGACAATAGACTTACATATAACCTCCGTACTAGAGTTAAAAGACAAGAACTTAACCGACGATTTGGCCAATTATATAGACTACTTAACAGGAACTCTAATCTACAACATCAAACACATCCAATCCTTCCAATCTAAAGTCCTTCGTACAATAGTCAATTGTAATATTATATTATATTATTGTACAATGGAGTAATATATTATAAACAAAAATACATCATGACCTTAACATCTCCTATGTCCTTGACGTTATCATTTTCATCAGAACCTAATCCCTTAGCACAATCCTTATACAGTTCAGTTATCCCTACAATCCTCCTCAAAGGTTGAAACGGCAGTGGCCTCGAAATCTTTTGTAAACATGTCATGGGAGTCCTGGCAGTGGTCAGCTTCTCCACTCAAGTCATGATGGTATGTGGCTTTAGTGCCCTCTCTCAGTCCCCACTGGATACCTATCACAGTGACACTGCTAAGAGAGAAGCACTGGGATCTCTTAGAGTCTTACCTTATCCTCCACATGTGGGGAAAAGGGACCGATTTGGAGCTCCCTCGGCAGACAGTTAATATTGTGAATAAGTACGAACGTGTTTTTATATTTTTATTCAATGTTGTCTCATGTTTTATTTTTCTGTTTTACTAAGTTTTCTTTTATTTTGTTATAATTTTTCTATTTTTTTTATTTATTTTTTTTATTGTATATATGTGACGAATGAGTTTCTTGCATCTCTAATGCTAATGCCCTTAATTGAGACAAAATGTATTTTTTTCTCATTAAATAAATATTTCAAGGTTTAAACAGGAAAAAAAAAACTACAACTGAGAAGGGACATGTGGCTTCAATTAGATGGTTGTCCTGCAAATTACGGAAGAGGTCCACGACAATGGCTAAATGTTAATCATCCCAATCAATGGATTGGCTGTGCAGGACCAGTGGCTTGGCCTGCACGCTCTCCAAACCTGACACCACTGGACTTTTTTGTTTGGGGTGACATTAAACAAAAAGTCTATGCAAGTCCGGTCAATGACCTTAATTTCTTATGAAGAAGGATAATTGAATCTTGTGAAACAATAACTCATATCCAGTGCCGTTCTGCCACTGCTGCTGTTGAAGAAAGATGCCGAGCCTGTCTTAATGCTCAAAGGAATCACTTTGAATAACATTTAATATGAATTTAATGTTTACATTTAATTAATAAAGTAATTGGAACAAATAAATAAGTTTTATTTACTTAATATAACGTAAATAGTTCATAACAATAAAAATATTTAGGTGTCAATATCTCCTAAATAAATCGTTTGCGGACATTCCTTCATAGGAATTTTTTTCTTGGTTTGAGGTCCTTAATTCATATTTTCAGTTAACCCTGAAACACTCTGTGTAAAAAGTTCGTTCATACTTGTTTATGTAATGTCGAAAACAGTCGAATGTCAGCTCTTGCCCCAACTACCCATTCTCCTTTGATAAATTTTTGAAAAACCCGTATATTTCACCAGAGAACTTCCTTTACAGAAAATTATAATTTATTAATAAATTATTTATTTTCAAATTTGTAAAATATTAATATAATTTTTTTTTATAATAGTTATTACTTTGGAAGAAAAATAACGAAAATATACAAAATGGTCCTTGAAGGTCTGTTCAAAAAATTCTTTTAAGGATAACATTTTTATTAACACATGCTGATATGTAGTAGTTGTGTATATGTTATAACTTAAAAAGAGTACATATTGTGATTTTTTAAGTATTTAGCTTAGATCACTCACTTAAGCTAATATGGGTCAATAAAACAAAAAGTTACGTTTTTCAATTTTGTGGAGGGCTTCAGCCTGAAAGCCTCTCCTCATAGATCTACCAAACATTGGTATGAAAGAGGAGTTTAGTGGGGCATGGATATAGAATTAGAAATTATGTCAAATTAACTTGATATTTAGTACCCTTCTATCTTCAAGGTCAAGGAATATGAATCGGATATAAAAACAAAAGATTTCACAAAAATCAATAAAATTTCTCATTTACAAATTTGTTAAATATAAATATTATTTTTTTATAATGCTAATTACTTTGGAAGAAAATATACAAAATGATGCTTAACTGGTATAATGGCCATAACGTGCCAGACATAATGGCACACTGACTGGAAGTGCCACTTTATATCTACGCTGAAACATATTTTTACAATTTTCTCAAAAACGGCTCTAACGATTTTGATTAAACTCAGTGTATCATTGTATAATTAATTGGTCTGTAATATCAATCAGGTCTTATCCCCGTTGATGACACTTTACAGGGCTTAAATGCCCAATGTTCATATGCGTCTTCTTCTAAAGTACCTTTAATATGGTTTATTTTAAATAATTAACTATCTCTTATTATTAAAAGTTACGAAAAAATGCTAAATATGACTTTTGAAAGAATTTGATAATTTAATAAAATAGAAAAAAATAAAAATGCTTATACAGGTCGAAAATGAATCTCCGGAAATACAAGTCGGAATGTATACTTATAATATATCGTTGAAAGCGGTGAACTTTAGAAAAAAACAATATCTAATATAGAAAGTTGTAGAAGGTAACAGAGCGTGGCAAAAAAATTATAATAATAATTTTTGAAAACTGATAATGTTTAACGTATGAAAATATTTTTAAGTTTAAATAAAGTATATAAAATCCACCTAATAATCAAGGCAATGACATTGTTTAAAACATTATTTCATTGTGCTTGTGTGGAAGAAGAAGTGAAGTATAAAATCATTTCATGGATGTATAAAGTATATGTTTATAACCTTAAATACATTTACTGTAGTTTAATAATTCTAGATCTGATATTATATTTAAATAATTAGGTATCAGCGTCTGTTTATTCCGAAAAATTGTTATGTAACTTTTTAGAAAATTAAATTAGTGAATAATTTGATGAATTTTTCCTTTGTGAAATCCCAACATTATCATATCTTCCTCTAAAGCACCTTTTATTTGGTTTATTATAAATAATAACTATTTATCATTGTTAGGAGTTATGGAAAAATGCTAAATATAACTTTTGGAAGAATTTTATAATTAAATAAAGGAGAAAAAAATAAAAATACTTATCCAGTTCGAAAATGAATCTCCAGAAATACTGGTCAGAAAGTATACGTATAATATATCGTTGGAAAGCAGAGAATTTCAGAAAAAACAATATCTAATATAGAAAGTTGTAGAAGATAACGAAGAGTGGCGAAAAAAATATAAATAATATGATTTCAACGAAATTAAATGAAATTTTCTTGTTAAATGTAAACTTTAAAATTTTTTTTTAAGTTTGAAAAAGTATTTAAACCCATGGATTCAAGGCAATGACATTGTTTAAGATACTATTTCATTGTACTTGTGTGAAAGAAGAAATGAAATATAAAAATATTTCATGGATACGTTTATAACCTTAAATATATTTACTGTAATGATGTAGAGATGGTTGACCGTTGATATAATATGAGAAGGAGTTAGTCGAGGGGGCAGTCAAATAAATAAAAAAATTAAAATAATTTATATATTTTAATTTTTTTATTTATTTGACTGCCCCCTCGACTAACTCCTCATATATTTACTGTAGTTTAAAAACTCTAGATCTGACATTATATTTAAATAATTAGGTATCTATCGTCCGTTTATTCCGAAAAATCATTATGTAGCCTTTTAGAAAATTAAATTAGAGAATAATTTGATAAATTTTACGTTTGCGATATTCCAACAGGATCCACTTAAAATTATTGTGACAACTTTTGACCTGTCTATGATAGACAATGCAAATCTCTTAATTCCATTTTAATAAACTTTGCAATAAAAAATAACAGTTTAATAACTAATAGTTGTACAATCCATAATCAAGGGATCGTACAATCCATAATCAACCGGTGATATAATAAATACGACTTTTGTTATTGTAATATTATTTATGATTTGTTAGCTGTAATCTTTTAGCTTTAGTTCAGTTAAAAATGCCATTCAAAAATTTTATAGTAGCCCAATATGGCCAGAAAATAATTTCTATTCAAAGTTAAATGGTAAATGAAAGTTGTGTGCTGCGCGCACCAGATTTTTTCTTTTAATTTTAAAGGTGTTAGGATTAGTGATACAGTTATAAAGGCTTAACTAAATAGTCTTATATTCAATTTATCCTTACGAAATTTAAAAAGAATAAGGGTTTAAGATTGAAAATATTATATTTTATTATTAACAGACAGTGATATTAGTAGAACTAAGTTTTTTCTTTGAGATAAACTGGGATTTATCAGTTCCATGTGGAACTCTCGTGAACATATCTCATATCTAAATGCTGCTCCACTTTGATGGATGTGCCAAGATCTCATGAATTACACATAAATAGAATTTAACATAAACATAAATGGAATTAAGAGAAATGTTGGGTACTGACAACTCATTCACAGTGTAATCTGTCTTTATTTAGATCATGATTTATGGTTTGACAAAATTCTAACTGGTTCTTTTTAGTTAAGATTGGGCCCTTAATTAGGTGTAATTACGTCACTGCTTTTGATATCCACTTGCTATGTTGTCTCACATGTGACAAGCTTAGGCTCTACAGGTACTTACAGTTGAGGTTGAGACCTTACCAGACAATTCAGTCACCTCTGTCTTTTTGATGCATTCAGCTATTCTAAAAATTCCATATATAGAGTGATCATGAGATATTGTGCCACTCATCAAAGTGGAGCAACACTTGTAAAATAGTCCCTATATTTCTAGTTTGTAACTAATAGTTTATTTGGTATTGAATTTCAATAGGAGGAGCTGTTGCAATTGATCTGGCATCTAGGCCAGAATACTCCTGTCGAATATGGTGCATGATTTTGGAAAACACGTTTACTTCCATACCTGATATTGCTGCAGCACTCTTTAAGAAATCTTGGTTTTTATTTTTACCTCTTTTATTATACAAAAACAAGGTAAGATATTGAATTTTAATATGAGTGTCAAGACATTATATGAGTGTTAGAGTTCTAAATCTGTTTAAGATATTGCAAGGAACTTTTATTAATAAATAATAAAATAATAGGGATGTTGAAATTTTAAACCATCTGTCCTTTATTGATGGTTTTATACAGCTTACATTATTTAACCCATTAGTTGCCACATCTTTTTCATTGAGTGATGTTGATAAAAAAGTACACATCAAAAAATCATAGTGTCAAAAATAGTTTTCACTTAAAAATTGCAAATGTTTCATTAATATGCTATAACTTCAGGGTCCAGTTAAGTGTTATAAAAAAAGCAACCTTGGGTGAGGTTGTCTAATAGTAGTTGGGAATTCCTGGAAAATCGGGAATATGTTGGGCATTCCTTTGTAACTTTTGCAAATATCAGCAGTTATTTCTAAGCTTCAATTTTCATAAACTATGGGTTAATTAATTTTGGCTATTTATATTTTAAATTAATTTTAGCCATTTATATGTTCATATTTATGATAATTAAATTAATAGCCAATTTTCGCGATAGTAATTATTAGTTCATTCAGCAGCAGTTCATTTTATATGTACTACTACTATCTTTATTTTTATTGGTCTTGTTAGTTAGATTTAGAAATTTTCTAGAAATTTATTTAGTTTCTGTTTTCCTTTTATATTGATACTTATTTATTATTATTAGTTTTAAACAGTAGGCTACTTTTTTCTTTACTTTCAACTGTTAAAAAGTGCTAATATGGATTAATTGTATAAATAAAAAATTTATTGTTAACATCTGATATTAAAATGGAAATTTTAAACTGTCTATGATGAATGTTTGAACCACAAAAGTTGATTGTGCGTTTAATCTTTTTGAGTCAACTGTAGGAATGTAAATTTAGTATAGGAATGTAAATGGTAAAAAATTAATAAAAAATAAAATAAAAAATAGTAAACATAGGAATGTAAATGTATATTCTTCAAATATATCGAAATAGTAAATTGTATATTGAAAATTGAAGAGAAGTTGGTTGGGATTTTCAGTCAAAATACAAAGTACAAATAAATAAATTATATTTATTTTTATTCTCTTTTTGTCAAAGTTTTGTCCTAAATTTCAGGCCTTCATCAGAGCTAAGCAAAGGCAAGATAATGTATGGTATAAATATTGAGAAATTATATGTTTTTTTTGAGTCCTCCTCTTCTTCGGCTTTAATGCTATACAGGCTTTTTCTAAACCAGAGAGTGAGGACAGGGATTTAAAAGACGCCCCAGCACCGGGACACAAACTCGTGACTATTTTTATCTAGTAATCTCATGTATCAGGTTGCCGGGCGACGGTGGTGCTGTGCACACACGTTAGCCCATTCGGCCACCCTACCCACCTTGAGAAATGATATATAAATTTAGAAAGTTTAAAGTAACTGTAAAAAAGCAGGAACTTATAAAATATATCGCCTAAATCAAAATAAAGCGATGAAGTAAACAATAATAAAATAATGTCAACAAGTTGAAATAAAAAAAGCAATACAAAATGAATTTTTTTTATTTCTACTTTGTAATTTGACTGAATACCCCAACCATCTTCTCTTCAATTATTTACCACAGTCAACCATCAGTCTACTATCATGAATCTACACACTTGGGCTAATGCAATAGCTAGATAACATAATCTCCGAATCATATATCACCGAACAAGATCTCAAAATTATTCTAGACCTCTTCAGTACCCGGCCACCTTTACTCAATGCTCTCCTGGTCACTCTCCGATTAGGATGGAAGTTTTGTTGAAATTAAGTATTTGGTTTAGGGATAGGAAGTGTTCGGTTAATTTGGAGGTGGTGGAGTTATTTATGCTGGGTGATGTGATAATTTAGGAGATTTTCGGTTTCACCATATACGAGGAAGAACAGTTAAGGGTGGAACATGAAATGCAGTACACAATAAGAGTGACATGAAAGAGGAATGGGATCTTTAAGAGAAGTGTAAAGGTTAGAAAGTGTGTTGTGATATTTGAAGGCATTGTAAGTTTGGGTAGATCATAAAATTTTGTTGATGTTAGAAAGGGTAGGGATGTAAGGTAGAGATCTGTATATGAAAGTTGAAATGGGTTATGAAGAAACAGTGGAGGATTTAGGAGTAGCGATATTTGTGGTCTTTGATAAGTTTGTTGATGATATTGGGAGAGAAATTATTAGCTAAAAGGATCTTTTTGATATGATGGATATTAGTTTCATGAAAAGGGGTAATTGGAGAGGAAGAAACTTCAGTGTATGAGATTTTTAACAACATTAATTTTTTGGTGATAATAAGGATGTTTCGTTGGAAGTTCAGAAGTCTGCCTGTGTAAATTGGTTTAGTGTACCGGTTGATGGATATAGTGTTATTAGGATTACTTATGTTGAGAAGATCAAGAAAAAGATAAGGAATAATTCATTTCACGTTCTACAGTAAAGTTGAAGGCTGATAAAATATTAGGAAAGTAAGTAAGAGGAGATTGTCAACTCATTTTCAGGTAAAGATGATATCTGAAAATATAGGGATAATGGAGTGAAGTAGATTGTTTAGAACAATGTTTGAGAAGTAAGGAGTGAGGCGTGGCCCATGGCTAGTCTGGAAATTGGTTTAGAGAGTTGTCCTTGGAAGCTGAAATAGCCTGATTTATAACAAAGATAGAGGGATGTGAAAGAGGTATGGAGTTTAATGATTGGCCAATTGTCGTCAATTATATTTTGTGCTTTGTATAGTGAATAGACTTTCAACATCTAAGGAGGTATGAATGAAGTGGTCTGGAATCGTAAAGGAAATTATTTGTCTGCGGAGGTGGAAAGAATTATGTACATCATATTATGTTATGTTAGGTTGTTATGACAGGATTTGTAAAAAAGGTAGTAGGAATTTTCTAAGTTAACTGAGGAAGAATTTATATTGGAAGTGATGGGATGAAGAGGGATGAGGGATAAGTGGTTTATGAATATTATGAATCATAGAAAAACAGGTTTCTTTAATTGGGATAGTTTATAAGTTTGGAATTTAAGAGATTTTTAAACTGTTAGTTAAATTGGGGTTTTAGTGATTGGGTGGGGTCACCGGATTTGAGAGAGTGAGTGGAACAGTCAGATAGGAGTGAAGTCATTTTGTCAGTGTATTCTGCAGTTTTGTTACATTTATCAGCTCTGATTACAATGATATTGTGTTGGGATTTTAAGAAGGATTGGGTGAAAGAAAGGTTTTTGAAAAATTAAGAGAAAAAAAAAAGGAAGAGGAGGAAGGTGGGTGTATAAGGTAATTAGAAATAATTTTACAAATTGAAACACGCGGCAAATCCTTATTTTCTTTTGAAGTAGTGAAAAAGTCATTTGCATATATATATATATATATATATATATATATATATATATATATATATATATATATATATATATGTATATATAGAATATATATACATACATATATATATTCTAGGTCTATGATATATAAAAAAAATGTGGTGTGCGCAACACACAACTTTCGCTTACAGCCTACAGATAGAAAATTATTACAATAATTTTAATGCCTTAGATTAGAGCCATTTTTGAGAAAATTGTAAAAATGTGTTTCAGCGTTGATATAAAGTTGCACTTCGGGTAAGCCGATTTTAAGGAAAAAGTTGCTTCGTTTTTGAAAATTACGATATTTTCATTGCCTTCCTATGGATAGGTCAAAAGCTGTCACACTACTTGTAAGTGAATAATGTTTGGATTTCACAATGGAAAAATTCATCAAATTATTCACATATTTAATTTTTTTTTTTAAAAGGTTACTTGATGGTTTTTTGGAATAAACGGCCGATAGATACCTAATTATTAATACATAATATCTTATCTAGAGTTAATACTCTATAGTAAATATATTTGAGGTTATAAACATATCCAGGAAATATTTTTATAGATATGTAATTATAGATACATTATAATTACAAAAAGTCTATTTATAATATCGATGGCAGGCAATAAAAATCTAGTCACTCCATCTATTTTTATAAACCACACAGCTTCAGTCTCTGAGCCTTTCAATTGACAGAATGACTAACTCCAATTTCAACATTTTTTAGTAATGTCATTTTAGTGATATTTCTAGTTGAAAAAGTTATCTATACAGTGAGTAAGTTGATTCCGGAGTAGGTGATTGAAGTGTTGAAATATAGAACTGTGAATAAAGGTATAAATTTTATAACTAGAAACATCACTAAAATTAATAATAAAGAATGTTGAAATTGCAGTTAGTCATTCTGTCAACCGAAAGGCTCATATGTGGCTACAGAGGTTTGAAAGTATATATGAATATTTAACCTGTAAATGATTATGGATCGTAGGACTATTAGTTACTAACCTGTTATTTTCCATTGTAAAGTTTACTAAAACAAAATTATGAGCTTTCCCTTGTCTTGCCATGGATAGGTCAAAAGTTGTCACACTAATTGTATGAGGTAATTATACAATAACAATAATGGGGTAATTATAAATTATTAATAATCATTTCCATCAATTTTGGTATTTGAAATTTTTGACTTTTTCAGAAAATTTCCAATTAGCAATATTTCTGACTGTTGCACCCAAGGAATAATAAATCAAAGCATAATCAAAATCTTTGCTACTTTCTTAATTTAAAAATATTTACAGCTATGTAATTTATGACACATTAATTTTAATACTTTTTACTTGTTATTTCAAGTATAAGAAATATAACCGTTGAAAAAAAAATTAGTTTCAACTTTATTGTAGACACTTAAGCTTCCTGGGGAAAAGTAAAATGACTAATCCAACTGATTATAAAGTAATGTAATTTAAATTACTTGAGTAATAAATATATAAACTAATTATTTTTTGGAGCCCCAATAATTGACGACTAGCCAATTGGGCCAGTTATTAATCAATTGTGCATTAAAATTCATTAAATTCACGTGCATTAAAATTAAAATTCATGATTATAATAGAGTCTGAGTTGGCTCCTAGACTAACAAT